GCAGGTAACAATCTCACTTCCTTCTATCTTCTTTACTATTTATATTTTGAAGTAAATAACTTTGGTTTTATCCCTTCTTTATACCAACCTTCTTGCCTCCGAGGGCCTGCAAAGGTTGATCCTGGACAAGCAAGAGCTTGCTTCAGAATGAGATCAACTTTTGGCTGAAAGGAATCAGCTTGCCAAGCGCCTCCCGGTGCTGGAGGCAAAAATCGCTCAAATGGATGAGCTCGAGGCCCGAGTGCAGCAGTCTGAACAAGACAGGATGGCTCATCGCTATTAAGCTGCCCAGCTGCATGAAAACCTTAAGGAAGCAAAGGCTAAGTGGGCTGAGCTTCATGATACCGTGACTACTGCTGTCGAGCGTGAGTATTCCTTCATGGAACAAGTTATTAACTTGGAGGCTAGATTACACTCCAAAACTGAGGAGACTAGTGTTGCCAAGAAGAGGAGAGCAAAAATAGAAGAAAGACTCAAAAGAGTCATGGAGCAGAATCGATTTCACTCAACCACCAACATTGAGCTTGATTCCAAAATCAGCACAATGAAAGTTGAAAATGAAAAGCTAGAATCCCAGATTAATAAGCTCCGAGCAAAACTCCAGGACTAAGAAGATTCCCTCGTCTTTGAGAAAACCTATGCCATATATCATACGAAGAGGGAGACATTAGAGGAGGCCAAAGAAGACATTGCCAACATTGAAGACTCATCTTTCCCTTCGGGTTTTGGCAGCAAGAACTAATGTATATATTGTTTTCTTTACCTTTTGTAATTACGCCAAAACTTTTTACTAAGTTTGGCGCTTTGAATAATAAAAGAAACTTGTTTCCTAAGTGTTGTGCAAAAGATATTCTTTTTTCATTTAGTTGACAGAGCTTCGAAATTATTTTTCGCATTCATAGCTTTTGATTTCGGGCATAAACACTTCCAGAACCTATCCTTTACTATGAGGGTTTCATAAGAGAGGGCCCTTATATTTACGGTGCTCTTGAAGAGTATGTCTCATGTTAATTCTGGCACAAGCATTTGAAGTTTTTGCTAACTTTCAAACGATAAAATAAATTAACTTACCATTTGGAAAAGAAAAAGATAAAAATAAAAGGAATTTGATTTATTCCTCTTATCTTTAAAAGTATCTTTATATAAACATTCATTTGCTTAAGTAAATAAAGCTGTCAATACATGTGGCTAACTTGTACAAATTATTTCTATGGGATGATCATGTAGTCCCCGGTCTTGATAAGACATTGATTTCGGTTCTAACAGTCCTCGATTTTTGTAACACTTTTAGTATCTTGTCATGTATTATTACCCCCAGTGTTCGGATGCTTGACATGAGAAATCGAACACTAGAAGTCTTGCATTCGTCGACGACACTTCTTTCATAGCGAGCCTTTGCATTACTTCCTCATTAATGGAAACAACTTGTGGATAGATAAACAATCTATTACCAGAGGCCGATGAAAGTGTTGGGAGACGAGTTATGCTATCGGGCCAAAGATTATTTAACCATCCACAAGTTGATTGCCATACGCGTTGTTCCACACAGAGCTTTGCTTTTAGATTCACCAGCTTACTGACGATCCTTCCTTCGTAGTATGCTTTACCTCGCTGCCTCATTAAAAACCTTACCAAAAAATCTAATTGGGATAAAACCTTATCGAAGGGAAAATGAGTGCAGGACATACTTTTAGTACCAGCAATGATCTTCAGCAATAATACCTTTTGAGGTGAGTCACGTTCCAATCGCTTGGCAATTTAGCTCCATCTTGATTTTCCAATTCGTATGAGCCTTTACCAGTTATAGCTGAAATCTGGTAAGGTCCTTCCCATATCGATCCCAAATTTTCGGCGTTGATTTCCCGAGTGCCTTAAGTGACTTTCTTTACAACCAAATCCCCAACTTTGAATTATCGGAGGTTGGCCCTGCGATTGTAATATCTTTCCATCCTTTGCTTTTGTGCCACCATCCTCACATATGCCAGATCCCTGTGTCTAGCTTGATCGGCAACGCTTCACGGTTTGCTTCTTCATTTAATCGAAAAACCTAGGTTCGGTTCCCCTATTTCTACCGGTATTAAAGCTTCTGATTCGTACACGAGCAAAAAGGGTGTTTCTCCCGTGATTGACTTCGCTATGGTCCGATATGCCCATAAAACACCCGGTAGCTCATCCGTCCAATTTCCCTTAGCATCTTCTAACATTTCTTAAGGTTTTGGATAATTACCTTTTTGGTTGAATCCTCTTGTCCATTAGCACTCGGTAGTACGGGGATTACGTAATTCGCTTGATCTTTAAACCTTCCAAAAACTTTGTGACTTTAGAACCTATGAAATGTGGCTCGTTGTCACAAGCAATCTCCTTTAGTATTCCTAATCGGCAGATTATATCGTCCCATATAAAATCAACCACTTCACATTCTCCGATCTTATGGTAACTACCTGCTTCAACTCATTTACTAATAATCAGTTAAAACTAAATGAAATCTTACTTTTCCAGGCCCATATGATAAAAGGACCAACTATGTCCATCCCCCATTTCATGAGCGATCGTGGTGACACCATCGAATGTAGAATTCCGTTGTTTGATGCACTAACTATGCATGGAATTGACATTTGTCACATTTTTGTACCAATGTCTGCACCGGAGTGGTTTCCGCAGATTCCTTCATGGACTTCCCTCATCACGTAGTCCGCCTCCGAGGCCCCTAGACACCAAGCCAATGGTCCTTGGAACGACCTCCTGTATAACTGTCCATCAATAAGACAGTCACGAGCTGCTTTGGTCCATAGTGCCCGGGACACTTTTGGGTCCTCGAGTAATTTACCATGTCTGAGATACTCAATGAACTCGTTCCACCAGTACCAGATTAAGTTGGTTGAATTAACTTCACAGTAGCCATCCACATCTAACACCGAATGCAGCAATTGGACGACCGTACCAAAATCAGATCCTTTCATCTCTGTGGACAAACCCAAATTAGCCAATGCGTCTACCTCCACATTTTCCTCCCTCGAAATATGGACGATTGACCACTCTCTGAATCGTATAAGTAATGTTTGAACCTTGTTCAAGTACTCTTGCATACACTCATCCTTTGTTTCGAAAATTCCTTACACTTGGTTTACCACCAGCTGGGAGTCACACTTTATTTCGATGACCTCGGAACCTAGTCCCCGAGCTAGTTCAAGTCCTGCAACTAAAGCCTCGTACTCGGCTTCATTATTAGTTAATGATACAGTTTTGATGGCCTGCCTTAGGGTTTCCCCCGAAGGATTGATTAGAACTACTCCAAGACCGGGCCCTTTTACGTTAGAGGCTCCATCCATAAACAAAGTTCAAACTCCCGATATCATTTCCGATACCAACACTACTTCTTTAGCAGCCAAAGGCATTAATCCCGGACTTGAATCAGCCACGAGTTTGGCAAAAACTTGTGACTTGATTGCAGTCCAGGGTTTGTATTCTATGTCGAATTCACTAACTTTGACTGCCCATTAAGCAAATGACCCGATAGCTCAGGCTTATGAAGAACATTCCTTAAGGGAAATGTTGTCATAACGGCCATTGGATGACATTGAACATAAGGCCTAAGCTTTCGAGAGGCAACTATGAGAGCTAAGGCCAGTTTTTCTAGGTGCAGATATCATGTCTCCGCTCATGATAGTATTTTACTAATGTAATAAATGGGATATATTAACAGTATTTTCTAGGTCCAATACGGCGCTTACCGCTACTTCCAAGATCGCCAGATATATTAACAGTTGGTCACTCTCCCCCGGTTTTGATAACAACAGAGGGCTGGATAGGTACCTTTTTAGGTCCTTCAGTGCCTGTTGGCATTCCAGAGTCCACACGAAGTCGTTCTTCTTTTTCAAAAGTGAAAAGAAGTGGTGGTACTTCTCCGAGGACCTTGAGATGAACCAGCTTAGAGCCTCCAACCTACCGGTAAACCTTTGTACTTCTTTCACACTTGTCAGCTGGTCCGGGATATCCTTGATGGCTTTGATTTTGTCGATGTTTACTTCGATCCCTCTTTGTGAGACCAGAAAACCCCAAGAATTTACCGGAGCCAACCCCAATACACACTTCTCTGAGTTGAGCTTCATGTTGTACTTCCTCAGAATGTCAAACGTCTCTTAGAGATTTTCCAGATGATCTCCTGCATTAAGAGACTTAACTAACATGTCGTCAATATAGACTTCCATCATCTTACCTATCTGTTCTTCAAACATCTTATTAATGAGCCTCCGATAAGTGGCTCTGGCATTTTAAGCCCGAAAGGCATCACATTATAGAAATATGTGCCAAAGTTTGTGATGAAAGAAGTCTTCTCTTGATTTTTGGGTTCATCCTAATTTAATTATATCCGGAGTAAACATCAAGATAACTCATTAACTCATGCGCGGCCGTAGCATCAATCATTTGATTGATGATTGGCAACGGGAATGAGTCTTTGGGGCACACCTTATTTAAATCCGCAGAGTCTACACACATCATAAATTTATTATACTTTTTAGGCACTACTACTAAGTTAGATAGCCACTCCGGGTATTTAACCTCTCAAATCGAAGTGATGTTAAGTAATCGGGTTACATCTTCCTTAATAAACCTATTTCTGACCTCTGCTATCGGGCGTTTATTTTGCCTTACAGGTAGAAGTTTAGATCCAGACTCGGTTTGTGGACCGCCACCTCCAATGGAATACCTGTCATATCTGAATGCGACCACGCGAAGCAGTCAGCATTAGATTTAAGAAAACCTATAAGTTTAACCTAAGTTCGGGACTCAACCCCGTTCCTAGATGGAATTTCCTTTTTAAAAGTTCTTTGAATAAAGTCACTTGTTCAAGCTCTTTTGTGGTTGATTTGGTCGCATCTGTCTCCTATGATACCTGAAAAGATCTTGGTACCTGATATAATTCCGATGGCTCCTCATTTTTATCATCTTCGATCGGAATGGAAGAAGACACCGGTTCCTATAAATGCTATTTGCTGGTTTCCTCGCCCCTGCTACTGGAAATGGTAACTGTGTTCATCTCCCTTGCAGCCTGTTGATCTCCTCTGATCTTCTTGACCCCTTCTGGCATCGGAAACTTTAACAGTTGATGGTAGGTCGAAGGTACGTCCTTTGTTTTATGTATCCACAGCCTTCCGAGGATTACATTATAGCCCATGTGGCCATCTACCACTTTGATCAGTGTGGTCTTCGTTACACTTTCAGCATGTGTGGGCAGCAAAATTTCTCCTCGGGTCATCACACTCGTTAGGTTGAAGCCGGCTAGAAGTTTTGTTGCCGGAATGATATTTTCGGCTAACTTCGCTTGCTCCAAAAGTCTCTATTGAATGATGTTGGTCGAACTTCCTGGATCAACCAAAACACGCTTAATCTTGAAATCTAAAATATTCAGTAAGATTACCAAAGCATCATTGTGTGGTAGAAGAAGTCCATCTGCATCCTCCTCTATGAAGGTGATGTCATCTTCTGAGCTTTCTTGGACTCTCCTGCCATGAGTCAGTGATATCTTCGTTTTTTTTTCCACCGAAAATGTTACTCCATTGACCTCATCCCCTCCGAACATCATGTTGATTGTCATCTGAGAAGACCATGCTGCTGGCTTTGATGGCCCCGCATTGTCCCGGTCTCTTCCATATTTGTTTTTAGTGTGATCACTAAAAAACTCTCTGAGGTGACCATTCTTCAACAATGTCGCCACCTTTTCACGAAGACGTTGGTAGTCCCCAATCTTATGGTCATGAGTCCTGTAATATTCACACCATAGATTGTGATCCCTTTGGCTAGGATCCGACCGGACTGGCTTCGGGAACTGAGCTTCTTTACTAGTCCTCATTACCGTCAACATTTCTACCAGGCTAATATTGAATTTTTAGTCGGATAGCCTGGGGGACGATGAATATCGAGACCCCGGTGCCTCTTTCTCCTGCAATGATCTGCTACTCCAACCGCGATCCGTCCTTCTATCAGAAATGAACCAATCCAATGAATGGAATCCCTTGTTACCACGCCCGTTGGCTCTCTCGTAAGGTTGAAAAAGACTCCTAGAGTGTGTTCGATCCACATCAAAATCATTTTCAATTTTATCTAGATTCCAATCGCGACTCCTTCCTTTGGAGGATGCGGAGGAACCAAGTTGATCATCTTTTACCCTTATCTTCGACTCGTAGCAATTGTGAACATCTGCCCATGTGATTGTCTGAAACACGAGCAAGCTCTCCTTCAATTTACGGGAGGCATTGGAACTCAACGAATTGAGATCCTTGGTAAACGCCTTCGCTGCCCACTCGTCCGGAATCGCTGGTAACAGCATCCTTTCTTTTTGGAACCGGATCACAAATTCTCGCAGCAGCTCGGATTCTCCTTGCAAAATTCTGAATGTATCTGCCTTCCTGGCCTGGACCTTTCTTGCTCCAGCATGAGCTTTGATGAATGTATCTGCAAGTATTTAAGAAGTGATTGAATTCTCAGGTAAGAGAGAATACCATGTCAGGGCACCCTTCGTGAGAGTTTCGCCAAACTTTTTCAACAAAACCGACTCGATCTCATGCTGAGCCAAGTCGTTTCCTTTAACTGTTGTGGTGTAGGTCGTGATGTGCTCCTATGGGTCCGATGTCCGATCATACTTCAGAATATCCGGCATCTTACACCTCTTTGGGATCTGCTCTGGTGTCGTGCTTGGCTTAAACGGCAAATAAGTATGCTTCCTCGTATTTAGATCTTTTAACACCGGCGACGCGCCTGGGATCTGATCCATCCGAGCATGAAACTCCTTCGCTTTTTGGTCCTTTCGTTGATTAATTTCTCTCATGAATCTCACGAGCTTGATTTTGAAAGGATCATTCAAGTTGTTATTCCCAGATCCACTATCGATCCCTCTGGCTTCGTCAAAACCGACTTCATCCCTTGGAGTGTTGTTATCGGTTCTTTGAGCCGTCTGATTTGCGGGAACAATGGGAGAAACCGGAGCCCTTCCATTAGCGTTATTGGAAGCATCCGATAACGCCTGCTTTAATTCCGTCATCACACGATCTTGAGGTGATCCATAATCGTCTTTTGTTGTCCTCTCAAGATTTTGACTGCTTCGCCAACGTGCTCATCCTCCGCATCATCAGGAGTCGGGCCCTGCACATGCTGAGGATATTGTCCTCCGCGAACCGGGGTTAGTTCGTCCCCTTCATTGTGGGTTTCGATGATTGAATCATCTTGCTAGAACACATCTTCTCGTTCATCGTGTGCTCGAACATTGTAAGCATTGTTGATATCATTAGCTACCATATCTGATTTTTACTAAGGAAAGGATCGAAACTTGTTAGTAACAAACGAATGGATCAAAGCAATTACGCAACTGTCTATGCCAAACCGTTTGCCCGTAAAATGGTACAGTTGAATTTATAGCGTGGTTTATAGATAAGTAAAACGATTTAACCCAAAAATAATAAGTAAAGGAGAACAAAAGTAAGATTGCCAAATAAAATTAAAGAATATAACAAGCCTGACTCAAAACCTAGCCTTTTTGATGACGAGAGTGAATGCAATGTTCAAGTATTAAAATTGAGCGTAATATGACAATAAATTATAGCTTTTTGTGTACAGAATATTTCGTGTTTACAATGGATGCTAATCCTTCTATTTTATAGCCATTGATGGTGCATAACGGTTGGTTATAAATACAGATATTCTCCGTAGCGACTGCCTATTGAATGTCACCCGATGGCAATGCTTTGAGTATTTGCTACGGGCTGCTCTGTCTTCGGGGCTTGTTTAACACTGATTGCACTCTTGCATCCTGTGTCAGCTACTTACTTACTCACATACCATCTGTCTTTAGTTCCACGTGTCACTTCGTCATTCGCTCAACTGTCATTAATCAATTTTACTCCATACAACACACAATTCCAATATTAGGTTCGATAGAAAGCTTGAACATCAGATGTGACATTTTCTTATTTTTTGAATCCTTTAATTAAAATTTCTAGACTCCGCGTGTCATTCAAAGAAGGGGGCATGTAATCCAAACTTTGGAGAGATAGTGATTACACGGATTAGAAGTTGGAAACATAATGGGAGACGGGATCACCTGAGACATAAACACCCTAATTTATGTACATTATTATTATTATTATTCCTAGAAGAGACAAAATAAAGGCAGGTTTCGATCAAAATCACATGAATGATTGTCTCCAACTTAACCAGGTGTCCGTCCAAACTAGTAAACTACAAGAATATACATAGAGAAAATAGTACTAAGATGAAAAGTGGTCATTATTATAAAGGGTATCAAACCAGAAAGCTTTAATATATATATTTAATAAAAAAGAGTGGGTACTTTTGTCTTCATCCTACCTAATACCGTTTCTCCATTATTCAATTGGCATTCCGTGTTCGATGCGTGTGATGAATTGTCGAATTAAATAATGTCCGTTCAATCAATACTTTGTCATAAAAAGAATTTAATTAAAAGTATCGAATTTTTTAAGTTCAATATAGTTTGATAAGTTCCCCCACTACGTTACATACTTCTCTTGTCCGGGTGGCTCAAACGCATTTGAGGCCTAAGGCCAAAGTTTATGCCTAAATATTTATAAGAACGTTATAATATACATTTTTATTTAAAAACTATTCTTCTAGCTTTATAAGATACAAAGTTGATAAAAAAAATTTATAATCGATTCTTTTCTAATAATTTCTTTTCAATTGATAATATAGCCAAGACATTTAATCTTTCTTAAGACATTGCTAATCTTAGGTAAGATTTTATCAATTTTAATTTTGTTCTTTCTACTAAAGCAACTGTTATATGAACTGTTCATCTACGGAACATTCTCCTACATCTTTTCGATTTAGTTTTTTTATTGTTTATCAAAACTTTATCAAGAGCTTTTTGAAATTTTATTAAATTTTCAACTTTTCTTTTCTTTTGGATTTTTGAATAACTGAATTCATATTTTCTTGTTGACATATTTAAATTCTAAAAAAAAAAACGATATGTATGGAGTAAAATTAAAGAAATACCAAATAACAAATAAAAATAATACTAGAAAGTTAAAACCCGATTACTGATTCAAGGAGTTTGAAGAATGAAGACTTTGATTCCAATATATCTAGTTGTATGGAGTAAAATTAATGAAATACCAAATAATAAATAAAAATAATACTAGAAAGTTAAAACCCGATTACTGATTCAAGAAGTTTGAAGAATGAAGACTTTGATTCCAATATATCTAGTTGTTGCTTGTCTATTTCAAAATTCTTGCTCTAAATCTTGAAAACTATACTACATTTGTTTATAGAGTAATAGAAGTATAGAATTATTGGAATCTTAAAAATATTTTGAACTAATAATTTTTTGGTGAAAGAAGATGAATAATAAATTTTTTTAGAAAGAAAGAAATATTGGAGAAACAATTCAAGAAGTTGAGCAAGAATAAAGAGAAAGCAAAAAGGTATGTATGTTCTGGAATATGAAGAGTAAGATTGAAACATTGAGAAAGGAGAAAAAAGTGGAATTGCTTTTTTTTTTTTTTGGTTAAAAGGATGATTTTATAGATAATACTAGTCTGTTACAAGTGCTCTATTATGAGCCATCATTACGGGAGTAGAAGTACTAGTAGTAGTAGCGTCTTCTATATGAAGTACGCTTAGGTTTCCAAGCCGAGCCAAGTTATTACACATAGAAACTGATACTATTTTTTCTTTAGGTACTGCTTCCTTATCAGCTTGCAAACTGTTGTATACGGTTGTAGGCTGATGCCAGAATACTGAAAGATGGTTGCACATGGCTTGCTTGGATACTTTCTTGGCCAAAAAGTGAGCTGCATTGTTTCCCTCGCGAAAGGTACGCCGGACCACTGAATTCCCAACTTCTTCAATAGGCACCTGCAAGAATTTATTAGTATTTGATAAATAGGGATGCAATGTTCCAGCAGGTGTAAGGCTTCAGTGGAGTCGGTTTTGATTTCAATTGGCCTCAAAGTATGAGTTGCTGCTAGTTGCAGCCCTTGTTGCAATGCTAATAATTACATATGTGTGAACTATTCATTTATCATTTTTAAGTAAGTCAAATCTTTATTTTATTTACATGTCTAAAAGGTTTTTTTTTTCTTTTATATGAAAAGTACAAAAGTATTATATATTTTTTTTTAAATACCTATAAAATATATATTATTTCAAAAAAATGGGCCCCCATACCTTACCCGTTAGAGCCGGCCTTGCTCTTGTCAAATTATCCGTTCATGTGGATTATAAACAGTTAGTAACCCTGCACGGCTGCAATTGATTTCTAAATACCAAGATGATTGGGTAAAATTAATTACACTGTTAGGAATAAGCTTGGATCCATTGTTATGAATATTACTCAGAGATCGAACATAAGGGGAAATGATTGAAGTTATATATTATACGGAAAAGAGTCAAATAAATTCTTGTACTATGAGAAAAGGTTTAAATATACCCTTCGTTGTACTTTCAGTATGCCCCTACCGTATTACAATTGGTTCAAATATACCCCTCTTCCGCTAAGTTTGTCCAAGGTGGACATCCAATCCTAATTCCTACATGACACTATCATTTGATGAGGTGGATGTCACGTAGCATGCCACCTCAGTGCCCCTAACCCATTTTATCCCTCCCCTATTTGTTTTTCCACCACTAAGATTTTCTTCGAGGGGAAGGAAAGTTTAGTGATGGAAAAAAATAGAAGGGAGGGGTAAAATGGGTTAGGGGCGCTGAGGTGGCATGCCACGTGACATCCACCTCATCAAATGTTAGTGCCACGTAGGATTGGATGTCCACCTTGGACAAACTTAACGAAAGAGGGATATATTTGAACCAATAATATTACGGCAGTGATATATATGGCCCGAAAGTATAACGAGGGATATATTTAAATATTTTCTCATAGTAGAAAGGTATATTTGACCCTTCTCCGTATATTATAAGTAGCTATTGTGCGTGCTTTAACCAATATGTTGTAGTATGTTGGTGACTATATTTTTGAATTATGTACCAATGTTTAGTGTAGACATCTACTTTATAAACGATCTAATTATGTAAAACATTGATCATGTATAAAAGTCAAAGTCGTAAAAACATTCTCGAGCTTGACAGCAAAAAGCAGAGAGAGATGCCGCTACATCTAGCTTAGCCTATCCAATATCCGGATTCAAAAATACTTTTATTTGCTGATTTTCCTCCAGTATACTGGAGCTCATGTAAAACGAGTTGTAAAATGAGAAGATGAAACACTGAAATTCAAATAAGATAGAGCCTAGAGGAACTAGTATATTATACAAAGCGAAATCATATAAAGTATCACTATTGAATAAAAACAAATATATCTGATTCCATTTTATAACCCAAAAATGGAATCAAACACAATGTCAATAAAATATATATGACTAAAGAAACCCTTATTAAAATGTTAATAAAATGAAAAAGTCATGATCATAATCACCAGAGTTTAAAGTTTCCTCTTCCATTAGCTTCCTTTCACTTTCTGCGGAGGGGGAATATAATATCATCTGGATTCTGCTAGTAGTGGGTTGATGAAGCCAAAAAAAAAAAAAAGTGTACGGACCATAGTACAACCAATATACTATGATGATGATAATACTGGAAATTATTTCTGCTTCCCTTTCTTAATTCGTATTCATCATGAAGAGTTCCATTACAGGCAGCATACTACGAAATGAATCAGGATTTCATAAATGAATGTAGTAAATAAATTATATGTAATGTCTTTAACGTTCGAGATTTCATGTGAGTTGTTAGCAAATATATAATATAACAAGCTAAGTCTTGACTTCAAATTTCATTATTATCCTTTTATCTATAATTTTCATATGTTTGCCCATGAAAATAATCACGTTCGCATTTTGGAGGACTTTTTGCAGATAATTATGTATAAAAAAAAATATATACTTTCTCTAGTTGTTCAAAATTTCAGATAAAAGGTGATCACATATTTCCACAGAAATATCTTTATCACTTTTTGAGTTTTCCCCAAGCTGACCGTAAAAATTGCACGGGCGCTCTATTTGCTCGCCCCCATTTAACTTATGCCCATTTTTTTTAAAACTTTTAACTTGTATCCACTTTTTAAATAACTTCAGCCTCCTTTCTCCTCCTCCTTCTCCTCCTTCATTTTCTTCTTCTTCTTCTTTCATTACCGTCAGGCCCGACTAGTTTCACCTTGTACGTTGCCATTGCTGATACTTTGAAGGTAAAGGAAGACTTCATGCCGAATGCTTTGGAAATACTCTTTACAGAACTTAAAGCACGTCGCTGCCTAGTGAAAGTAGAGGATTGTATTGATGGTGCACCTTTGAGCAAGCTAGACGAAGAAACGCTAACAGCTGACATGTTTGCACCTGCAATACTAAACAAAAGCTTATATTTATTTTATAACTGGCAAGAGCTGAAGTTTCCCGGTTACTAAATAAAAACTTCAGCTCTAGAGCTGAAGTTTCCCGATTACTAAACAAAAACTTATAAAATAAAAACTTCAGCTCTAGAGCTGAAGTTTTTATTTTATAACTGGAGCTGAAGTTTCCCGATTACTAAACAAAAACTTATAAAATAAAACTTCAGCTCTAGAGCTGAAGTTCGCGAGTTACAAAACAAAAACTTCAGCTCTAGAGCTGAACTTCAGGCCCGGCTACTAAAATGCTGAAGTTTTGTGTGATTGCCTTTGCTACTTCAGCCCCGTATGCTGAAGTTATGTGAAAAAAGCGGGTACGCTTGCAATTTTTTTTGCAAAGTGGGCACAGGTTAAAATATGGCACAAAAAGCGGGTATAGATGCAAATGCCCCAAGCTGACCTCAACTGTTAAAATGTCATGGTTTTATCTTCAAAACTATAGCATTGTAAACTAAGAGGATTAGAAGGACCGTTAAATTTGGCCCAAGCCCAAATGAGCCGTCCAACCTATTCAAGGTTGGATTGGTTATTGACTCGCCCATTTATTAAACTCAGTGCATCTTGACCCAATTCATCTCAACTTATTTAAAATTGGATTGATTTTTAGCTCTAATTGATCAATGAGTAACTCTTCCAAAATATCTTAGAATAATTCTTTTATGTTTGATATGTTGTATATGGCCATAACAAAAGTAAGAAAATCTTATTAGTAATTATACAATTTATTAAAAAAAAACACATATAAATTAAAGTTTGGTGAGAGTTGTGCTAGTTTGGCTATGACCCAAATTTAGCCCATTTTGATCCAGTTCATCTCAGCCCAAGTAACTTTTGAGTGACTTGCCCATTCATCGACTCAACGCATTTTGACCCGTCCAAAATCGATCTGACCTGCCCATTTGACACCTCTGTGCCCCAAAGAGGAAAGAAACAAGGCTGTCATCATTCAGAAGCAGACAATAAACTGAATGAAAATGGACAATGTGTAGTGGTTCTAACATTAAAAGACCTAGGATATTAGTAGGTTTACGCTTGGAGATGAAGTCCTTTTTGCAATTGGTTAGCCTGGCTTTCAAAGGGACGTCTAACTTGTCTATAAATCTTAATCATTCTCCACCAATATAACTATTCTTCTTTTTTGACTCTTTTTTCCTCACTGGCTTCCAGATTTATTTTTCTGATCTAGTACATATTTTCTTTTTCTTCTTTTGTTATTCTTACGTATTTGACAAAAGATTCAAGTACGAGTGTTATGTTTATACGTATCATGAGATCTAATGATATAAAAATAATTTTGAATGAAAACATTGAGTATCTTTTTTTTCTTTTATCTTTTTGTAAAGAATTGAAAGCTTGATACTCTTCATTACATCACATACAACTAGCTTCTCAATTTAGGGAATCTAAACTATTTAATTAGGTGCTAGAACCCATATCTGAGAATGTGGCAGTACAAGTTCATGGTCAAAGATTTATATATATATATATATATATATATATATATATAAGTTTGTTGTGGAAGTTTTTGGAAAGTACAAATATTTAAGTTGTGAACGTATTTAACTTTGCTTCCGTGTTGCTTCGTACGAATGGATTGAACAAAATCTCAAAAAATGTTTCACCATCATCGACCTTTCATTTCATTGATCTAGATCTCCAAATATTTTCAAAGGACTAATTAAGAACCCATTGGATATTTGATCAGCAAGATTAACAAAATATTAACACTCAACAAAATTGAACTTCCTTTGCCAACTACGTACGTGCTATATATGATCGTATTTCCTCCTGTTTGCCATAAAAATATAATGTTCTTAGTTGATTTAGACATGTTATTGGTATCATGTTGGTATGCTTCCTACGTCTATTGAAACTCTTGATGATGAACAAGAAATACTCTAATGTTGTTTGATAAGTGCGCAATTAATTGACTGAGAAGCCCCCATCTTTTACAGCATGATGATTTATGAGCATGATGAGCACTCATAGCCTTATTGCCCTTATTTTTTCTTATAGAATTAAAAACAATTAATCTTAGGTTGAACTATATATAGGTTTTGTAATATGCTCAATCTAGAAAATGAACGCATAAAACTGAAATTGAATTCCAAAAGTTATGCACAAGAAAGTACGAATTTCAGAGGTCAAAAAACATCCTCAACAAATTCATCAAACAAAACATATAATTTACCCTTAATAATTTCCAAATGATTTAGTTTGCATTTAATTTTCACCATGAAGAGCAAGTACCAAAGTTTAGGATGGTGCTGAGCATGTGATGCTCCACTTAAAGTCACTGTAGCTCATAAAAGTTAAAAGACGCGTATACTCACAACTTTTAATAAGGGAGTACTTGTTAAGAAAAATCAACATTAGTTCTAACTAAACTTCAAAAAGTAATTAGTTGATGAGTTAGAAAATTGTCCAAATTCAAAGATATAAATGAGTTTGGTTGTGTACCATAATAAGAAAATGGACATTGTGACTAGCTCAACCCGACAAAACTAACTCATAAAGTGAAATTGTTCAAGATCATATAAGAGAAAATAGTAGATTACCTCAATCAGCGTGGGACTTTAAACTGTACAATTACTAAAAGAGTTTAAGTTTTATACATTTTCAATGTTAGAAATTTTTATATTATCGAGTCGTCTTTACATGTTGTAGCAGGCAACCTGCTTTATTTTAAAGATTATAAATATTACATTTAAATGAGGGTTAATTACTTGTATATATCATTCGAATACATAATTTAAACTCTTACCAGAAATAGCAAAACATGTAAAAGGCCATGGAAATTTCGTTTGTCACACCTCTTTTAGCCAAACCAATGGGGGCCGAGCGTGCAAAAGGAAGTGCTGTATCCACAATATCCGAGCTGCATTATAAGTAGTCTGATTAAGTCCTATATATAGACAATATTCCCTTCTTTGATTCCCCCTGTCCTTCTCTGCATATACTCACATGTTCTTTGAAGAAATATTAAGGAATAGGCATTATGATCTCCAACGTTGTACCTGTTCCAAATGGAGAAATTATTTCTCAACATGACCAAAAGAAGCAGAAACCTAAACTTTCCTTTATTGATATTGTTTCATCTCTCAAGGATAGAACAAGCAAGTGTGATATGAGGAAAATAATACATAGTGTTAAAGTTGGGCTGGCTTTGGTATTGGTGTCGCTTTTATATCTTTTGGATCCTCTGTTCCAGAAAGTTGGACAAAATGCCATGTGGGCTATTATGACTGTTGTAGTTGTCTTCGAGTTCTACGCAGGTTTATCATTTAACTATGGTGACATAGTGTAAAAATTTCTATCATATACTTATGTTTTCCCTATTAGTATAAATAAATTAATTCCAATGATGTCAGGTGCTACACTAAGCAAAGGCATAAACCGAGCGATTGGTACAGTATTGGGCGGAGGATTGGGATGTATGGCTGCAATTTTAGCTGACAAAAGTGGAGAAATTGGCGGAGCCTTAGTTGTTGGCATCTCTGTGATTGTCATTGGTAAATATTGTCCTCACAATAATAATGTTACTAAAATGAAGCTAATAATAAGAGTTTAACTTCTAACTATACATTAACAGTGTAATTTAATCTACTATAACAGATTATCTAATTTATTTTTAGATTACTAGTTCACTTATTTCAGGCTACAACTTTCACTTAATTTGGACATTATATTATACTTAAATATCAGGTCGCCTACAAAAAACTACACGTAACTATCCATACTAAAAGTTGAAAAATAAAACAGATAACCTGCTATATCAGTTAAAGTGAAAAACTTCCTTACACTGTCAGAATATATAACTTGTTTCCTAATAATAAAGGTATATATATATAACAATAATGGTAATATTATAAACAGGTGCTGGTGCAACGTACTCAAGGATGATACCAAGCGTGAAGAAGAGATATGACTATGGAGTTATGATCTTCATATTGACATTCAATTTGGTAGTAGTGTCTGGAGTAAGAGCTGACAAAATCATGAAATTGGCTGGAGAGAGACTTTCCACCATTGGTATGGGTTTTGCTGTCTGCATATTTACAAGTTTCATCTACCCCATCTGGGCTAGTGATGAACTTCATTCCTCCACTGCTTCTAAGTTTGATAAACTTGCCTCTTCTATCCAAGGTAACATTCCATATTTATTTATTTCCTCCCAATATATTATATATCTTTTTACGTAAATGAACATGAACAATTAATCCATTGCCATCTTAATTTTAGGCTTAGTAATAGTCTTGAAATAATGGATTGACTATTTAAAGATTTATCTTATTATTAGTGTAGTTTAACCTGTGATACCACGCTAATTAACATTTTTTTACCAGATTAGTAAATAGTAGTAATACTTATGATCGAAATTTGCTTGTTACCTTTACAAATGACTTGATTTTGCAAATATTTTGCACCGCCAGTGCATAAAATTAAACTTAAACTTAGAACTAATATACTACTTTTGAAAATTTTCCTAATGTATATATCTTACTCATTGGTTGTGATTTTTAACGTGTTTCTCGTAAATTTTCAGGGTGCTTAGAGGAATATTTTAAGATAGCCGATGATAAAGAAAAACAACCAACTATTGACGTCAGTGGATGCAAATCAGTGCTGCATTCCAAGTCCAGTGATGAGTCACTGGTATATTATACTTTAACAATTCTTACTAGGAAAGCAATTATGTTGGATATAAATATTTTATTAAAATAATAATAATATGAGAACTATTTCAGTCAAATTTTGCGAAGTGGGAACCTTGGCATGGGAAATTTGGATTCTTTTATCCATGGGAGAAGTACTTGCAAATTGGAGAGGTTCTAAGGGAGCTTGCGGCATCCGTTCTCTCATTCAAAGGTTGTGTTCAATCAGTCAGACAGGTAAAAATACTGAAACACTTAATTTTATTTCGTTTTCCTTTCAAAATATTAAGAACTTGTTTAAGAAATAATCAATGGTTATTTCTTAAAGAAGCTTTGGAATGAAAGAAGTACTATCTCCGGTCTATCTTATCTGTCTTTTAAGATTTTTGCACACTATTTAAGAATGACATTCAAGACCCTTAATTATAAGAATTTTTATAGTACCTGCAAAAACCACCAAATTAAACGTCTCACTTAATTGTAAGTTTTCCTAAAATATTAAATATATTGAACAAATTCAGGTTGCCAACATATAATAGAGTATATAGACCGGAAGTAGTACTTTCTTGTTTAGATTTTCACTTTTCTTCAATTTATTCGTCCAAAAGTTGACTCAAAATTTCATGTTACTTTCTATTTGGTACTGATGAGCAGCCATCCACAACACAAAGAGACAGCATAAAGGAGCTATGTGAAACAATAGGATTGTCAATTGCATGGATTTTGAAAGAGGTTGGAGAGAGCATAAGGGACATGAAAATATGTCGTACTAAAGTTTTGATAAGTCCGAGAACACAATGCATGATACAGGAGCTAAGTCTCCTTGTAAAAACATTGGAGAATTCGACTGAAAATCTTGGGTTGGCAAGCTTTATATTTCATTTGTTAGAGTTGGTGGAGAAGGTAGAAATGGTGGCTATAAAAGTGGAAGAACTTGGTGAAATTGCTCGGTTTCACAACAAAAAAGTTGATGTCTGACTTTAATCTACTCAGCTGTAAATTACTGGTGCCCCTATATAATAGAAATATGGGCAGTACCGCAGTACGATAAAGAGACAAGCGCTACTCCATTAGTTGGGAAAATTATGATCCAGCCGAGCTACCATTTTGAGTTTATGGGTTATGGGTTCGAGAATAAGCTAACTTACTGGCCATTCTAAATAAATTATTTATATATATAAATTAAATTTTTAGCACAAATATAAAAATTGGGTCAAAGCTACTGAATCCTGCCCACGTGACATATATCATATACTGATAAGGTATCGTAGAGTTTTGATTCATTTCTTTAAGAAAAACACTCAGTCGTCCTCTATGATACCAACATGGTATATCATACTAACAGGGTATCAAAGAGGACTTGTAAAAGAAACTCATTAGTCTTCTATAATACTCGCGTAGTATATATTACATACTATCAGGATATCATTGAGGACCGGTTAATTCCTTTAAAAAAAAGTAGTAGCAGTATAGTGTTGTAATTAATTATATACTCTTGAATTAATTATTGTATACCAATATGGTATACAGTATAACATTTTGATATATAATAAATTTTGTCTTTTTGCTAGTTCAACTCAATTTTGACATAAATTCGAAAATCAGTATTACCACCATAATCTACACATTTAATAATAACATCCAATGAATTTCAATTGCAAAACACTCCAAGCACACACAAAAAATTAGATACAATTTTCAACTTATACACATGAAATTTTAATTATTATTTTTTTCATATTTGATATTGTATCGACTACTTTGAAGTGTTTCTACTAAATCCATGTAAGCACAAACTTTTAATTGACATGAGGAAGAATCCATTGTTGAGCGGCAAAAATAATTATTTCCCTTTACATAATGTCAAAATTTTAAAATTAGCCAGCAATTAATAAAGATTGGAGTTAATTTCCAAAAGCACCCAAATTAAGCTAACTCAAGTCAATAATTTCTAAAGATCGTGTGTTAATTATTTCTGAGCTTTACCTTTAATATGCCTTTCAAGAAGTAATTTTATGTAACAAAGAAAAATGGCAATTATTCAAGAGAGAGGTATAAAGCCTTTTAATGAATAAAAAAAGAAACAAAAAATAATAGAAATCATGGATTGGGTGTATTTATAAAAATAAAGTAGGACAATAGTGAGCAATAATACCGAAATGATCGAATCAAATTTTGGCATATTGGAAAAAGCAGCGAAAGTGCAAAGATGATTTTTTTGGTTTATTGAGAAGGGATTGGTCAGTGAAATTTTGGTCTGAATTAGTTTGAAAAATTAAATATGGTGAAGATGAATTAGATAAGGAACTTTGGTGAGAAGAGAGAAGAGTGAGGTTTTAAAAAGAGAAGGTGAAAAATAACTTAAGGAAAGAACACTACTGGCTACATGAATAAGTTGGTAGGTCTGGTAATTATTTAGGATAAAATGTGTACAAATTGAAACAAAGTTTATAATGGGTAGATACGGGTAATAAATTTGGGCTAAATATGTATCAAATTCCCCTAAAATCATTCCAATTGGGCTCTAACGGGTGGATGCTTTAAGATATTTTTATAGAGAAACGTTTATTTTTAGTCGCATCCGAAATAATAACCGATAAAATATATTATACGTATATATACTTGTTAGCTAACGAATGCAATTGTTTTTGGTCAATTTTGTATTTTAGAATCACCTAAACTTATGCAAAATCAGCCATGTTTTTTGGGAGAAATTCAAAAATAGCCAGTTTTACAAGTGATCATTGCAAAATAGCTACGGTTTCAAAAGAATTTAGCCAGTTTCATGTAAAGATAAATCTGAACGAAAACACTATTCCAAATCCGAAAAATATTCCAGCATAATATACTAGTGCTCCAATCTCTAGTATATTATGCTGGAACTTTTCGCGTGTTGGCATTCCAGCATAATATGCTGAAAGTTCATACACAAGTACACTAATCTCCAGTATATTATGCTGGAACTTTCCGTGATGCACCAAAATAGTGGCTATTTTTTAATGACTTTACAAACGCTGGCTATTTTTCAATTACTAGTCCGAAAACTGACTATCCCGTGCTATTTTTACATATTTTTTTTGTCCTTACTCGGATTAGTCCATGTATACAATTGAAAGTTAGGTTACTTCCTCTATTTCTCTTCTTCAACTCGGCTGCCTCTTGATTGTTAGTCGCCAAACTCGATTTATTGTTGAGTTTGGAGCTCAAATCGTGGTTAGAGTACTTACTTTGTAAGATTTGAGTAGTAAAAATCATATTAAGAAGGTATTCACCATTCTTTGCACTCAAGAAGTGGGTTTGAATTTTCAAACTGATTTTTTTTTTTTTTTCGTTGAGAAATTTGGAGCGTGTTGTTTAGAATTATTGAAAATAGTCTAAGGAGATTGTATATGAAATCTGGAACCTTTTGTGGAGATTTGGTCAGATTTTGAACCAAAAATTACAACTTAAAATCAAACAGAATTTGTCTCGACGTGTTATACGTTTTTATATATTGTTATACAGTTTTATATATACGTATGAAATCTCATGACAGTGAAACATAATTCGGAGTATATAGTATCTGACAAAACAAACCTTTCCGGCAAGTTTTAATTATCAATAATTTGCAAGAAAAGGTTTAATACTTTTGTTTCACAAGGTAGAAATATGGAAAGGGGAAAAAACTAGGGGTGACAATTTGAGCTCAAATCCATCCAATTCGTCCAACGCATAAAGATTAATGGGTTGGGCTACAAATATTTTAGGTCATGGGTCTATTTGGGCTGAACCCAAGGTAATCAATGATTTTTTAGGAAATTTTACCTCCTATATCAAAGGTATACACCCTATTTATTATAAATCAAAATTATTTTAAAAATTATTTTCTATAGCTACCTTTTATATTTTATAGCAAAATAAGTATTTATGGTATATATTACCATTGAGGCATGAAATAAGACATGAAATACGTTATTTATGTTTTTCTTCTCTCTTAGATAACTGGATATACTTATTTTTAAGGTGATTGTCGTTACTGTATTCATGAATACATGGCGCGAATACATGTGAATACATGCGCATACAGCTGGATTGCCCTGATTTTAGGTATTTTTTACTGCTGTATTCATGAATACAGCAGCGAATACATGTGAATACATGCGCGTACAGCTGGACTGTCCTTATTTGAGGCGCTTTTTGCTGCTGTATTCATGAATACATGGCGCGAATACATGTGAATACATGCGCGTACAGATGAACTACCTTGATTTTTTGGCCTTTTTTGCTGCTGTATTCATGAATACAGCAGCGCGAATATACAACTGTAACAACTGAATAGTAGCTATAGGAAGTAATTATCTATATGGTAGCTATAGAAAGTTAATAGCCATTAAACAATAGTGGTTTTTGAAATTTTTTCTAAAATAGCTCATTCTAACACATGAAGTAGCCCAAATGCAATCCATGAAGCTCACAAAAAAAGGGATCTCAACCCAACTTATCAAGAAATTTACTTAGTTGCCCCAATTTTATTTTATTTTTTTGTATTTTCAATTTTCTGATTTTTTATTTTTCTACACCATCCACCCAC